TGAGGTGAGCGTTAGTGCATGTGGTGGGCTTATACACGAGGGCTTATATTCGGGGGAGGGACTTATATTCGGGGGGGGGGGCTTATATTCGGAGGTTTACGGTACCACAATTGTTGTAAAATATATAATAGATAAGCGTAATCAGCCATTCCGAAGTTTATGAGAGGACTGGGGACAAGTGTTAAAAAGTACCCAAATTAAGAAATATACCAAATGACTAAAAAGACCACCTCAAAATTAGTAAGTATACAAAGTTTGAAGACGTTTGCATGAACACCCTTCGAATAATAAGCTTTCGAAAATTGTGAAATTACTGATTAAAAGATTGTTTTTGGGACGCGCGTCCCAAAAACAAAAATTACAATACATTTCATAGTAAATATCACCATTTTCGAAAGCTTATTATTCGAAGGATATTCTTGTAAGCGTCTTCAAACTTTGTATACTTACTAATTTTGAGGTGGTCTTTTTAGTGATTTGGTTCATTTCTTAATTTGGGCACTTTTTAACGCTCGTCCCCAGTCCACTCATCAACTTCGGAATGGCTAATACTTGAAGTAAGGCATATTTAATCTTATTCACATGTAACTGATTTGCGCTAAAGAATTATTAATCTTAGTTTTCTTACGCTGCTGTTCCTTGACTCTAATTCTTGTCGAGAATTTGAGCAGCGCCTATCATTTATTTCAACAATACCTCTTTTTTATAACAGCTGTGGAAAAGCGGCAAAGGACGGAGGTTACAAATACTTCTGTATCGAGTTTTATGGCGAATGTTGGGGTTACAAGGACTTTAATGTGAACCAGACTCACGCAGGAGCAAATGCATGCTGGGGAAAACGTCCTAACTTCAAAACTTGCGATGATAGTCAGAAAAATCCAATCTGCGTCGGAACAGCAAATCATGGATACATCTACGAACTTAATTAGTTGGTAAGTTTTTTTTCAACTTTTTGTTTTCATCACAACACGGACGTGAATGCTGTACATAGTTATGATATAATACTTTTTGTTTGTGGTAACACCACGTAAATTTATTACTGCAAAGCTTTCGATCCGTAAGCCTGGATCTTCATCAGTGCAAATATGATGAAGATCGGGGCTTATGGATCGAAAGCTTTGCAGTTGAATAAATTGACGTGGTAGATACCACAAACAAAAAGTATTAAATGTTTCATCGCCATGCAAACCTACAAAGAACTTAATGTTATGATTGAAGTCCATGTAAAAATCAGCAGGATTTTATTCGGATACAAAAATAGTCTTATTGGCCGCAACTCCGGCCTCTGATGCCCGCCGATACCACGCCCGCTAATACCGCCTGCTGTGCAGGCTAATATGCAAGCTTCTTCACGGTCATGATTTCTTCCTTTTCTTCGTGAATTAAATATTCTTCGGTAATGCACCGAGAACAAGGATGTCGTAAATTTTAACCGCCCCTAGTCCACTGCGCTAGAGCCTTAAGGCCATGTTACACGGTGCGATTTTTCTTGCAACTTGCAATGCAATTCTACTCTTGAGAGATATTAATTAGTGAAATCAGTGAAGAATTTTCGATATGTTGAGAAAACATCAGCGGAGTGTAATGAAGACTCGTATTTGGCAATTTCACGTCTCTCAAAAGTAGAATTGCATTGCAGGTTGCAAGAAAAATTGCACCGTGTAACATGGCCTTTAGGCTGCATTCAGACTGGGTGCCTTGTTTTGGCGCCTAGTTTGAACACGACGCTTCCAAATGAAATTGGGCACAGTGCCCAAGAATGGACACTACTTCTAGAGGTAGTACTCAACAACGGCACTGTGCTCAACATGTTTTGGAGACCATTTTGAACATTGGGCACCAGTCTGAAGGCAGCCTAAGAGTGTGCCCAGTTTGTTGGCCCCACTAAGGAAGGTCTTCAATAAGATCTGCAATGGCATTTATCCATCCATTGGGTGCCTTACGTTCTCATGATTCGTCGTGGGTCTGCAATGTTTTAGCTTCCCAAATCGCGGCAAACAAAAAAGGCGACAAAAAACTGCATATTCGGGTTGAATGGCAAATTGAGCTAGGTGGTGTATTAACTCAATCGTATTCCTTACCTCTCTCTAGGCGTATAATCTTTGCCGATTTTTGAAGCACTCACTACAGTGAAGAAATTAAGATGATTTAATTACACTTAGGAATGCATAGATGTATGTTTGTTTGTGAATAAATACAAATAAAAACAGTCTTGTGTGTTTGTTCAAATGATCATATTATTAATAAAATAGGAAAACTGTTACTATTAGAAATACATACATTATAACTCAGAACGGTATAAAAACCCGTCTAAAAGAACCGTAACTTTTGATGTCAGGACTGAGTTTCGGCTGCCGACTGCGAGCAGGCGCTGCAGGCTAATATAATTACTTAGGGAGAAATCAGGCTGAAGTTGTTCTTAAGCAAGAGCAGCTTCGAAGAAATGCAACTATAGGTTGTCTGGTAGGAATCGAACATGCGGCTCTTGCATCTACCACTAATTGTTTTTGCATTTGCACCTTTCCTTAGAATATATTTTCTACTTCAGCACAAAAGTAGCCTGCATGGCAGGCTCATTGGGTTATAGGGTCCTTCGCTAGAGTCTGCCACGCACGCTAGCACAAAAGTGAACCATTACTCTTTTTTTCCTAGAACTATATGAGACATTGGAATAGCTCGCATGCAACGATTGTTGAGTCTAATACCATTGTTCATTTCAAGTCTGAACTATTTAAATACCAAAAATAGATTTAGTTTATTTGTATATAGTTATCTTTTAGTATATCGTATACAGTTATACACACTCTTAATTTTGCATAGTTGGTGTGATTTTAAAGATTTTGCAGACTCAATAAATGTATAGATTTGTCAGCCTGAAGTAGCGGGTGGTTCTTAACCCACAGGTTTTTTATGCGGGCTTTTACTGTATAGTGTATATCCAGGTTAATACATGAACTTACTTTCACGTGATTCTTGCTGGCGTCATGAACCCGATTTTTGCTTAGTTTTCCTTCCATTTCAACATGGGAATACGTTGAAAGGTGATTTGAAAGGCTAAGCGCATAAAAGACTGTTCCATATTATTAACGGCACTGATTTCTTTAGAAGATCTTTTCTAACTTTTCTGAATGTAACCTACTCAGGAGTCTTCACCTATTATCTACCAAGGACATTCCTTTGACGAGTAAAATCTAAGGGTTGGGACCCCTCCTAATTTAATCCGTCATGTATCGAAAACTTTCCATTTGCTGGGTAAAATCATCTGGAGTTTCCCTACTTAAACAAAAATTCCCTTACTCTGGAACTGGGTAAGCCCAGCTAGCTGCATGGGGCGAATTTTCGTGTCACAAATTTGTTTTCCTGATCAAGATAGTTTGAATGAACTTTATATTGTTTCTGGAATCAAACAAAGCTAATTCAACTTTGAAATGTCATTTTGAATGTTTATTAAAGCCTTGCACTTTATTAAATTAAACGAACCATCCCGGGCCAGCTCAAGAGATACATGGGATGATATACTTCACTTTTATGCTTGAACTATGAAGATTTCACTAAAACCTATCTTCCCACAAAAAATACAAAATCCAAACAAAATTATCAAATTAATATTTTGTATTTATTATTACTTAAATAAATTCATGCCATACATGATATGTGTGCACAAAATTTTGTCAATATATGTAGGATTTAGAAAACATTGTGACATGTATCTTTATATCTGCGATCTCTTCGAAATATAAAAAAATGAGACGAGACTGTGAGCGAGTCTATAGTAATGGGTAAGGAAACCAATACAACGAATTTATCATCTATTTGTACTAAGACTAAGTAAAGACATTTAGAAAAAATATTGGGTGCCTACCGCTTGTATGGAATACTTGGTTTGTGTCTGAACTGCACGTGTAAAAACTCACAACTTGTCAAGAAGATGTGGTGTTCGCACTAGTTGTTGACAATTCTGGAACAAGTTGTTATCATCTTGTAACAAGGTTGCTGAGGCCAACACACTCGCAACAAAGTTGTTCCAACAAGTCTGATATCGTCTGCACGTCACAAGTTGTTAAGAAGTTGATTGCACCAAGCTCGTAGCAACTTGTTACGAACAGCCTGTGGTAGCCTTGTTGGAACAACTTGTAGCAAGTTTGTTACCGTCATCAACCTTGTAACAAAGTGATAACAACTTGTTCTAAACTTGTCACAACAACTGGAAACAAGCTGTGCGAACACATCCTGATATCGGCTTGGCAACAACCTTATCATTACTTGCAGACCTGAAAAAGTGTTTCATTATGTAGATCAGACATAAACCATCGAACCATGTATAAAATTTGCCTAAAATTTGCTAATTACGCAAAAATCGAGTTTGTTAAAAGCATTTTCACACAAGAGGCACGCACTTTTAAAAATGATGAAAATTTTACTAGCTATTTATTAAGATTTTTTTCCACAAAAAAATGTGTTCTCGCTTCATACATTAGTTCATCTTGTATATATTGTCAATGGAATTATCAAATCTCCCCCCAAAATAGATCATACCAAGATCATACCACTTCTGTAACCGAATCCTGTCGCATGGATGAAGACTCTTTGAATCCTATATCAAAGACGGTGAAAGTACCACGCGAGTTCCTCTAGATCCGAGCTGGATAAACATCAGAAAAATTCATATTTTACTTTCTAAAATTATCCCAATCAATTGACCAAACCTCACTCCCTTCATTATTGACATCTTCATCAAATTCTAACTCACTAAGTTCATCAAAATCCGAATACTTGCCCTCATATCGCACGCTTTCCATGTCATCTGTCGGAAAAGACCTCATATCCTCGTCCGCTTCTCGAACTCGAGACATTATCCACGCTTTTATACGTTCATCTTCGATTTCCTGTGTTCCTCCAGATTCATTCCCGGTTCTGACAGAGCTCGACATTCCTTGAGCCCTCGATTCACCAGCTGTTTTGGTAGAACTCGAAAATTCTCGAGTACCATTCACGCCACGAGAGTCAACACCATCTATCCCCAGTTTCCCATTTCCCATCGCGGTTGTGGTCGCGGTTGTCAAGGTTACCTGACGACGTGAATATTTCAACAATACTGTGACGTCATATCCGCTCGCATCCATCATCTCGCCGCCATGTTCCTGGTACGCCATTATGCTGTCGTGAGCTTCCTCCTCGATCAACGGTCTTTTCCCGCCAACGATTGGCAGAGTGTGGAGAAGACAGAGGATGAAGATAAAGATGATTAAGGACATAAGGAAAACACAAATCCAAACCGGATCAAGTAATCTGTTTCGATCAGCATCTCGACGTCCTATATCAATACAAATCAATGTTATTCAAGGATAGGGACTCCAAATCCAAATAGGCGTACACTTTGGCACAACCATATTGTGATGTGGGATAGAAAGGTGTTTTTTTCTGTCTGTAGAGTTTTTAAAACATTACCATACATTTCATTGGTAGAAAGGAACAAAGAATATGAGAACTGGGGACACTCACAGACTGCATATCTCCGTCAGCGAATTACGTATTCAACTTACTCTGCCTGGCAAAACGAGACGAACGTTTGCTATTTTCTCACCCAATTTTCAATCAAATTTAACCAATTTGTCCTTGGGCAATGTGTGTTAGAAATTTTCATATTAATATGTTTTGAGTTGTCGCCATAGGTTGCCAAGATCTGACCACATTTTGTTGCTGGAAATTTTAAATCCCCCCCTTAAATTTCATGTAATATTTAGCTTAATTTATAACCAGCTTTCGTTGGTAGGGACGCAAGTACATGAAAAACACAATTAAGGATATTTTTGTGACGCAGACTAAAGGTGGAGTAATACGGGCAACAAAATTGCTGCAACGTGCAACGAAATCTGATTTCAACGCATGTTAAGTAGAAATGTTGACACATGTTGCCTCGTGATTTGTAATTTATGTGTAAACATTTTCAATTAACATGCGTTGAAATCAGATTTTGTTGCAAGTTGCAGCAATTTTGTTGCTCGTATTACTCCAGCTTAACTAACAGTTTGTGTGTTTCTTATATATTTAAACCGCCCTAATGAGCTACGAGCCATTTACCTGGTGGCAATCGTGGTCGTGGCGTGGGTTCAATCACGATCTCGTCACATGTCTGACCCGTGAATCCAGTTGGGCATGCGCAATAAGGCGGATCTTCATCTGCGCATGTGCTATTGTTCTGGCAATCCAGGACAGTTGTCGCACACGGACATCCTTCAACCACACGAAACCGGTTAAACTGGAATTTCTCGTCCAGTTCTTGTCCATTATACGTCACACCACCAGTACAGCCTAGAACATTGGTTGTATAATCAGGGTTTGGGCCAATAAAAAAACACTGATCTAATGAAGGAAATTGCTAGCTAAACGTGATTGGGAAAACGGCGCATAACCACAGATTAAGTATGACCAGATGTGTAACTTAATAGGACTTCGTGTCCTCAAATTTCCCTAGATGTACACGTCATGCTCACGCCATGACACTTGCTAAATGGCAACTTAAGTTACACATTTGTCTATACTTAATCTGTGGTATAAACCGAATTTTTTATTGTAAATAACACCCTGGGAAAAGGTTGTTTTGTCTGGTTTTGAAAAGATAATATCTTACGTGATGATTTCGCGTATTTACAGTACTTTATTTACCTTGAAAATCTTGGTCAATATTTTCAATTTCCCTCCCTTGATGAATCGTTTCAGTAGACATATTCTTATTAATGGATACTCTTGTTATGGCAGTATAGCGAGGTATACCACCTGTGTACATTGTACCTCCTGACAAACTGGTTAGACGTACCACTCCACCTGTTGAATAAATGCTATATTTCTAAAAATACGGTTTTGGTAAACAGAGGGCTATGTGTAGATATATATCCAGCGAAAATATAGTTAGTTAAAAATCTAAAAACAAATGGATTACAACAACCAAGAAATCAACCTCTCTGCTGGAGCGTGTTTGGGAGGGAGGCGGAAGTAAAGTCTAGAGAGTCTGGCTTGCGAGGTTGCCAAGAAATTGGACAATTCCTTTTGAATCTTAGAGAATTTCTTGGCTGTTAAAACCAATTTGTTTTTACAGTGTTTCAATGAGTTTATTCTGTCGTAGTAGCCCATTTAGTAGTAAGGGCACAGAATAAGGTACACAGAGGGTCGACTCGAGTAACCGCTGCCACGCCATGATTCATCATCAAAATGCTGACGCCATTGTCCTAGCCAGTGCGCGTCACTGGTGCGCGTTTGAGAGGCATTCCCCTCTGGACGTCCAACATTTTGAATATTATCAGGGGGTTGAATGCCTCTTAAACGCGCACTGGCTAGGACCATGGCGTCAGCATTTTTACGGTTACGCCTAAATCATTGGAAAATCATAGAAAAACCAAGAAGTCGGGCTTCTGTATGACTTATTCTGTAGTAAGGGCCCTTGCTCCAAACGTAATATCACACATACAACATTTACCTGTAGTCGCATACGCTTTTGCTTTATAGTCTAATTGAAGCGAGACAGTATTGCCACGTCTGTTCACGTAGACAGTATGCCATTTATCATCAGTAATGTTGGCTCCAGTCAGGGTGACCGTTTTCATTTCATCAGCGAATTTAAATGTGTAGTAAAGATGCCGATTTTTGATCTAAAAGTATAGTCATAAAAAAGTCGTCGACTAAAAACACTTTCACTGAATACCCTTCGAGTTTGGCATGTGATCAAGCTATTTTTAACTTTACTAAAACATCACAAACATTTAATTTACATTTAAGTAACATCACAAACAACATAACATAACTGATGCATAATTTCAATGGTCCATTGGGTGAACCTGACTTTATTTCAAACCAGACTTTATTATAATCATGTAACAAGGTGATATATCCTACCCCAAGATCACAGAAGGATCTTTCCGTAGACGAGGAGGATCTGAAGAATATCGCATTAGTAACATTGGTTGAGACACGAATCCTGAAAACGAGGTTGGTGTGAAAAGTGAAGAAATACTTGAAAATACGTGAGAAAACATGGCGTCGTTGTCTGATGGGTAATGACGGTTCATCAGGGTTATCCTGGATCACAGATTGTTGTTGTGAATTCGATGTGTTGTACTCCGAGAAACTGTTCGGGACATACCACAAAGAAGGGGAACCTGTGAGGAATGAAATAAAAACATAAATATATAAGAGAGTTCGAAGTGGCACGGCTCGAAATAGAAAAAAATATGGTGTGACAAACTGATTTCCTTTTTGGCAGCCCACATATTGCTCCAACATCATTCACATAGATCTAAAATCGGCCTTTATACAAGCTGGACTTACGTTTAGAGCAATCACAGCCGGTGAATCCCGACACACACGTGCAGCAACTCGTGCCAGTGTACATCTCGGCCTCACAGTAGCCTTCATTTTGACATTCTGATTGACAGCCTCGTGTACACCCCAGAGGAGCGTTCATCACCTTGAGCGGGTTCTGCAGGTCATACATTCGGTTGTTGTCGTAGACATTTCGTATACAGCCGTAGAACGATCGGGTCGTGACACCAGAATGAGAAAACGCATAGGAAGTACCGCCAATTTGTAGAGGATTTAATCCATTCAGATATCTAGATATATAGTAAATAAATGGAAACATTTGAAACGATTATTGCACGCAATTGTCTTTATTGTAATGTTTTAGACTCCAACTACACGATAATGGATTCGCTTGTCACGACATCGAATTTAACGATTTCAGGAATATCTTAACACTTTAATCGCAATAATATGATCAAATTATAAAGGAGGAAATATTGTGGAATCTGGTATCATGTCACTGGGGCTTCACTGTTGCAACAAAAATTACTGTAGCATAAAAGGAAAAATTAGATTAATTTTTTTCAAAACTCTATCAATTTTTTATCTGTCCTAGAAGACCAGTAAGAAGTGCAATAAAAGCCAGCCCCTATTTGTTCAGTAATACTGTAGGAACTTGAAGCACGCTTCTTACTCAATCTGAATTGTAATGGCCATAAAATGAAAAGCAAAACATGCATTACTAGGTGGTCCCCCCACTAGTTCAGAGATATTCTCATGGGACTCATACACTTCTGTACTTTCTGCACTTCTGTTTTTACGATTGGTTCTTAGAGTGTTGAAAGATAATGATTTCTATCACAGATTTACTTACGTAAAATCTCCAAATGTTTGACTAATCACTTCACAATGTGCACGATGTTCAAAAAACCGACCATCTTCTTCGGTGACTGTTGCGGATTCACAATAGTCAACGACTAAACGTATCTCCTAAATCAATGGTAAGGGGAAGTTGACTGGCAATGGAAGGAAGATGAGGCATTTCACTTCCAGGAAAATTTATTCTGCCCGTAGTCAGTTTATTTGTGAATTCAGGGTTCGTAAAGGTTAGTAAGAGTAAAATTCAAAAACTTTTGAAAGACTTTCACGGCAATGTGTCATGAAATTCAAGGACTAAATGGCTGAAAAGACATGAGCAAAACCAAATTCAAATTCATTCTTTTAACATGAAGCAAATTTCAGAAAACATAAAAACTAAAGCAACAAGAATTCAAGGGCTTTCAAGCACTCTTTATACGAAAACTCCAATGAAGTTCGAGGAATGTATAGCCTAGATTACTACAACATACACTGTGTTTTTAGTGAATGTCTAAGTATTTTAAAAGTAAATTAAGGAAGCATCTTCTAAACGAATATTTGTCAACTAGTTAACACTACTAGTTCTTGCATGTTTTAATTAGGAATATATAGTATCTATTTAATTCTTGTAAAATTGTCACTGAAAAGCCCCTCTCGGGGAATTGTCAATACAGTATTGTGTTGTATTGTTTTCAGTAATTACCAGACCTTTTTCATTCTTTTGATTTCCACATGATGCCAAGCACCATTGTCCAAACGATGGCCATTCCGAAGATTGAACGACGATGTACGACCACCTAACGATATCGCGACGGTAGCGTATCCATCAATTAGCGAGACTGCGAGGAAGTCCGACATACCATTGTTGCCATCTATGTAGAAATACGTAAGAATTAGTTGAAAGGTAGAATATTGTGTAACTCGGGCTTGCCCGGTTGGTATTATGTTTCAGGAATGCATCTTCGTTAGGCATCACGTGAGTTTCTGTTAGTTGTCCGAAATCATAAGCCTTGGTATTTATAATATAGTTCAGTTGAACTTTACCTTGTCTTAAAGCACCTTGATACAACAACAGACCACTTCCTGTATTCGGTTGGGACATAAATTCAAACGACAAGGAGCTCAGTTCGTAGGCAGACAAAGGTTCTAACCAAATGTAAGAATTACGCGGGTTGAAAGTCCGGGTGGTAGCCTGGCATTCCGGGCCGCGATACTCGTGCGGGCATTCACATACATATCCTTGAGGAACGTCATGACATGTGCCTACCAACAGAAAGATAAATATAAAGCATTGAAGCACAATTAGTCATAGGTTCAGGCAGTGCTGGGTATACAACATATAGGTCTGTGTCAATGACGACTTCTGTAAGACTAGGGCACTGACCTCTATATATAAGGCAAGATGGCGGCCACCGATGTCCAATAGCTCTTCGATTCCCGCCATTTTGGTTTCACTTTTTGGACTCAAGGCCACTGGACTAATGCCTGTATTCTAACAGCTCACTCACACTCAGTGAGTGGAGGTTCAATCTGAGCTTTTCTTGAGTGTCAATGCTGTTTTTGAATAGCTGGAGGGTGGGTAGTCACACGAGTAGTAAGGTACGACACTAATCCCCCAGCTATTCAAAAACAGCACTGACAGAAAAGCTCAGATTGAACCTCCACTCATTGAGTGTGAGTGTGCTTTTAGAATACGGACGTAAGACTGACTTACCTCCGTTCAAACAAGGCATTGAAACACAACTGATCACAGGCTCAGGCAATGCTGCGTAAACAGCTTGTAGATCTGTGTCAATGGCCACCACTGTAAGACTGGAATTAGGCGCAGGTATTTGACCATAGTAACCGCTGGCCACAGAGTACGACTGCAGCGCAGTAAGCGTATTCGTACAAACACCAACAGAACGACGTTCATCAGCACATTTGTCATAGCCAATTTCGACTTGATCGACACCTAATAATGAAAAAAATTATGACAATCAAACAATGTGTTACCGCCTCCGATGGATTCCATCGCGATAAAATGCACACCAAATAATACAAACAACTACAAGCTACGATCTTGGGCAAAGCAGTTGAGACCATCATACGAAATATTGCAAGTTCATAAATATTGAGAAGTCAAATTTCACGAACCAACATCCGCCAGTTCAATGTCGCAAACAACCTCCAAACGACTTTTGGCAATTTACCACAAGGTTTAAATAGCGAAGTAATAAGTACACGGATTTAAATGATTATGCTCATAAGTATTCCGTATTTTGGTATGTCTACGATCATGCTCTACACACGTCACACTTCAACAAGAGATGTTCGCACAGGCTTGCAGCAAGCTTGTTAATAAGTTGTAACAGTTCTGTTATTTTGTCATGTTGCCAAATGGTTGTCACTCACAACTTGTTGAGACGTTTTCAAATTGTAGGACGATAACAAGTTGTTGGAACAACTTGTAACAAATATGTTGAGTCAATCACCTTGTAGTTGACAACTTGTCAACAAGCTGGGAACAATCAGTGGGAACAATCAGTGCGAACACATCCTGATCACAAGTTGTTGAAACAGCATAAGTACAAGTCTGCTGCGGTTTGTTTTGACTTGCGCGTTATCACGTGTATAGATGATAAATAAATAGACTTGTTAAAGAGAAACAAAAACTTACCTAAGGCCACAAATTTCATATAATTAGTTTCTAGTTCTGTGAGGACACGGTTCGCATTCATAAAATCACCACTGCTGTCCTGGATCGCAACCCATACATCGACACCATACGGAGAGCTGGCGACACCTCCCGACGACTGCGCGATGCTAAACACATACACATGATCGGAAGAGACTCTGAAAATCTCGGATAAGGCCGTGATCAGTTTCATGTATAGAGTGTCAATAAATATAGGCGAATTTCGCAGTGGAAACCGCAATGCTACGGCGTGCTGGACAGCGGTCGAACTAAGATTTCGGACTAAAACAGTAATTTCAGATCGAACAGTTTTCCCAGAATTCCTTTCGCGAACTGTGATATTTATGAAATACTCGTCAATTGGTATATCAGCAACACAGCTTAGGCGACCTGTGGTAGAATCTACGCTAAAGTTGTTCCCAGGCTGCTGAGCAATCATAAGGTACTCGTTCTGGTCGACCTGATAATCGTCATCCCTATAATAAACATCGCCAATAACACCCCCCGGAAAGCGACCATCTAATGCGTACATAATTATTTTCATGGATCCATCATAAGCCTCTTGGTTGGATGTCTCATCAAGCACACTAACAAAGACCATCACCTCCGCTGACTGCATAGGACTGCCGCCGTCACTTGCTACAATAATCACTTGGTACAGCGGCGTCACTTCCCTGGAGAATTCATATAGTTTAGTATATAGTTCAACACTGTGACCAGTTGAATTTTTTAGCTGAAATTTATCCTCGGTGTTATTGAGGGCAAATGTAAAAGGTGCGCCGTTAGGGGCCTGGTCCGGGTCAGTGGCATTGATGGTAGTAACATACTGTTCTCTCCGAACACCTTCGATGATGCTTACTTCGTAATACGCCGGAGAGAATGTCGGAGGAGAATCGTTGACGTCTTCAATTTGAACAACTAAGATGGCTACGTCTAAAATAGAAGGAAACGATGATGATTTTTAAAAGCCTGTTTATATGGTTGGATAAATATAGAGGCATCTCGTTCGATAGAACGGAGAGTTGGAGGGATTTAAGGCCAATTTCCACTCAAAAAAAATTTCCACGGACAGAAAAATTTCCGAAAATATCATTGTTAAAAGTTAAAATTTTCAACTTCAAAATTTTTCAAAGTTTGTGTCGGCTAATCACATGGAAATGGATAAAACCACAATAAATTATATTTCTAACCTGTGAGCCCTCCAATATCGGTTGCAGTAATCTCCAACATATACGATGAAACCATCTCCCTATCAAGACGCCCTGCAACTTGTACAACCCCCCGGTTCCCATCTGCAGGATGAGATACTATTTCAAAAACATCACCAATATTTCCAGCTGTAATCGAAAACTTTGGTACGGCATTGGGTCCATTGTCCATATCGGAACAAGTGACCACACGGACTTCTGTACCTATGGTAACATTCTCCGGTAGGGTTCGATGGTAGGTCTTGGGTTGAAAAACCGGAGGCTTGTCATTTGAATCAAGGATTTTAATATACACAACAGCATAGTCCGTAGGGAACACCTCGGTGATGCTTTGTTCTAATACAGCTACAGTAAGGTTGTAATCTGATTTGGATTCATAATCGAGAATACCAGCAACAAGTATCTGTCCTGTGCTAGGCTCGATGTAAAACGCAAAGGGAAAGTTTCCGTCAGTGATCGCATACTGGTGTCCAACATTTGTGAAATCTTCATCAGTGGTTGAGAGTTTCAGGACCATCGAACCTAGAAAAACGTAGAGAAGAAATTAGTAAATATCGATATTTTTGGGCATCTAGTTCGATAGGACCACGAGCAGTTCCGAAAATGCAACTATAGGCCTTCTGGTAGAAATCGAACCTGACCTTGCGATTCCGGTACAGCGGCGCTTCAACCGAACTACACAATTTTTTGGAAACACGGTTAGGAGAGTCAGATTCTGTATTAGCCCCACTGTCTACCCCAGTACGACGCTGCTTAAAAACCTAATACTAGCCATCCTTTACTGGTTCAGTATTACTACAGAAAAAAACCAAACTATCCGGAGACCTGTGGTGTTTGGTATAGTCATCCTGGAAGCACCCTTCCCAAGTGCGATTGGGGAGAAATCATTTCACCAAATATTTACTAATGCACCAGAAACCTATCCATGAAAATAAAATAAATCAATATTGATATTATATATACCTAAGGCTGCATCCTCTGCCACCTCTCCCACAAAACCATCCTGGGAAAACGTCGGCGGAAACTCGGAAATATCCGTCACCACAATCGTAACCAGTGTAGTCGAAGAAAGCCTCGGATTACCTTCGTCACTCGCTCGCACCAAAATCGTCAAGTTTCGTCGAATGTTCTCCAAATTAAACACCGCCGTTGTAGTCAGCAATCCCGTCGTTGAATCAATGGCGAACAACCCACCATCGGCATCGACCTGTGACTGGCCCGAACTTCGGTCGATAGTATACGAAATTTTGGAGTTCTTCCCATCGGCGAGCTTCGGATCGTCGTCGTCAAAGGCCGTAATATACCGAACCGTACTGCCAATGGGTTTATTTTCCGGAACAAATCCGATATATGGCGTGTTGGGAAAATATGGCGGCTCATTCACATCAACGACATTAACAGCAACAAAAGTACTCGCAATGCTAGTTCCATCAGTAACATATACGGGAAAAACCACCACCGGGACTTTTTCTCGGTTAAGCGGAACTCCGGTAGTGGTAATATTTCCGGTGATAGGGCCGATGTTAAAGTAGGGGACAGTGGTTGTGTTAATGGTATATATGAGGTGGGTTGAGGGTGTATCATGATCGATGGCGGATATAGTTAGGACAAACATTTCAGGTGGGGTGTTCTCTTCAAGAGGGATCTCGTAAAGTGGTTCCTCGAAGAATGGAGGTTCATCGTCAGATTTGGTTACCTGGACGAAAAAAACAACCAAGATGTTGTCCTAACTTTATTTATACTGGATAGCTCAGGCAATTGACTGGATATTACCGCGAGCGTAGTGAAAACACTCATCAAAATTTGAACCGCTTAAAAATTGATGAAAGTGCATGAGAGTCGATGAGAGTTTGCGGTCAAATGAGAACGAGAATTGCAACTGTCATCCTTGTTTAACCGAGGCTTTACACTATCACAGTTTCTGTGATCACAGTTGGAATTTTGCATCGGTAAATTCCAGGTTTTTAAGGAATTTGTAAGAAATGTTTGAGGGAACTGACTTAGTGTTTAACACCGAATCAGTTCCTTCAGACGTTTCTTACAAATCCTTCTCAAATTCATTAATAATTCATGAGCAATTCAGCCAATGATAATCACCTATTTGATCACAAGATGCCATTTGTATACTTGATGAAAGTCACTAGTGTTTTCATCAAATATCTTAATTACGCATGCAAAATTACTTGCATCGAATTCCTAATTACGTTATGCTTTGTTAAGAATTCTATTCAAATCAGCAAACGAAAACATTCTGTTACGTCTCGATTCATTTGAGAAGCCATATAAACAACTCGAGCTCGTGTCTCACCGGGATATCCAAACACTCGAAAACAATGTATGAAAACACTCGCGCTTCGCGCTTGTGTTTTCATACATTGTTTTCTCGTGTTTGGATATCCCGGTGAAACACTCGCTCTCTTTGTTCATATATTACTTCAAAACTTAGTCACAAATCGGGTGAATTAAAGAGGTCTTCCATAAACCCAACAACGTACCTTGACTGTAATTGTAGTGGTATCACTAAACTTCGCATCGCTGGCGACCACAGTGAGATTGTATTCAGAATTCGCTTCAAAATCCAACGGTCGTGCCACAACCAGATGTCCTTCATTCCCGTTGGCTACTTCTTGTGACGTCATCTGAAACCTCCCGTCATTCCCGGTGGCGATGGAGAACAATGCCCGGGCATTAATCCCGTAGTCATTATCTCGACTCATCACGGTCTTTATTGTTGTACCAATCGGGGTGTTCTCGGGGACCGAGACCGAGTAATGGGCCGCGTCGAAGACTGGGGGCGAATCATTTTCATCAAGTACTCGTACTCGAACGTAGGTCGTGCTACGATGCTGGGGGTTCCCGTTGTCAATAGCAACAAGGTGCACGTGATAGTATTCACGAGTTTCCCGATCGAATGGAACGGTTGTAGTAATCTCAATCGACGAACCCTGATTACTCAACTGGAACAAGTTGAAATCATGCGATTGTTCCATTTCGTACGAGATAACAACATTCAAGGGGTCGTAATCTATCGCTCGTATTCGTATGACGATCGTCCCCGGCGGTGCATCTTCGGAAACAGTCGCATCGTAACGAGTACGCCCGAATAACGGGGCAACGTCATTAATATCTGTTACATCAATTTCGACAGTTGCTTCAACACGTTCAGAGGCTCCGACTTCGTGCGTGTTGACGGAAAACACGTACTGTGTTCGCATTTCGTGGTCAAGGCCGCGTGTTAGAGTCACAGCGCCCGTGCTGTGATCCACTCTAAATGGGAAATCGGTAGGACGCACATCGGCTAAGTAGTATATCAAACTTGTCCCTTGTGATATTGGCTCCGCTGAAAGAGTTAGGACTGTAGAGCCGACTGTTGCGTTCTCCAAGACATTGGACTGAAACAGCGACTGGGAAAAACGGGGCAAGTTTTTGTTGGTTACTAAAATTTCTACTGTAGTTTTATGGGTGTTGTCCGGCTGAGCGTCTGGGTGATAGGGTCGTGTGTTACCAGCAGTGATGCTCAAAGTCTTCTTTCCAAGGTTTCCTAAAAATACAGCGTAGCGGTTACTGCTTATTTTTCCGTGACTGGAATTCGATTACAGTATCACAGAACAGAGATCATACAGAAAGCCAACTCAGCCAAAAAACATATTTATAATCTCTATGGTCGCCACGCCATGATTCGCACTGATTCGTCATCAAAATGGACTCGCCAGCTTATGAGAGGCATTCACTCCCCTGAACGTCCGCCATTTTAAATACTTTCAAGCGGTGAATGCCTCTCATAAGCGCACTGGCTAGGAGGATGGTACTATTCTATTTTACACAATTAAAGTTACGTACGTTCCAAGCTAGACTTCACCGTTATCCAACCATCCGAATCGATCGCGAAAAGTCCACTCCCCCCGTCTATGGCATAGGTCACCCTAGCATTCTCCCCAACGTCACTGTCAGTTGCTCGAACTTGCAGCACACGGCTACCAATCCCTAGGTCTTGCTTGATACTGGTTTCATACAGCTCGACTTCAAAAATAGGATAGTTATCATTTTCGTCCGAGACATGAATGACAAACTGACAGTGGCCCACTTGACGCAGCTCGCTGTCCGAGGTTCCGTCTTTTGCAGCTGAAATTAAGAAGTAGCTGGATTTTTCTTCGCGGTCTAATTTCAGCGCTGTTTCCACTTCACCGGTTTGATTGTTCACAACGAAAACTTCTTGATGGTCGGGCGAAAACAAGTCGTAGGAATCCTAAGATTGAAATAACATAAATACAAAACTATAAAGCACTCGGAGACTCATGCAATGACTCGACCCGTTACAAAACTGCAATAAAGTATTCAATACTAGCATGTATTGTAGTATATATTATATAGTACATATTATCTCCCATACCTCAATGAAATACTCAATGTTAGCATGTATTCCACGGTCACTGTCAACAGCTTGTAGTATGGTCACTGTAGCACCAGGGTCGAGGTTTTCTTCTACACTCACAGATTCAGGACAAGACGTGAACTGTGGCGCATTATCGTTCACGTCCGCTACGTTGATCTAAAGTGAGAAAAATTATATTTTTAATTTCTAGACAACGAGAAGGCACTCGGAAACTGCATACGACATTCGTACTGCAGTTCTTGCAAAAAAGGCCTGCATTAGCTTTGGGCCGGCGCCCTTGAATTGTGTCCTTGTACTATGGCTATTTCACACTTTACCATCAGACTACTAAGGATGCTTACAGAAGAATGAATAAACAACCATTAATTAAATACAACAACAAACTCTTAACCTCAACAACGGTCTGGGAGCTCTGCACGCCGTCAGTAGCTTCAACAGTCAACGTGAACACACTTTCAGTTTCTGCCTTCAACGAGGATGCCACAACCACTATCCCAAACCTAGAATCAGGGATCTGGAATAGTCCACTCTTAGGCGAACTGGCGGTGATCGTATAGCTTAGGGGCGAACCAAGGTTATCTTTATCTGTCGCCTGGACCACGCCGACAAGATGGTTAATTTCGGAATCCTCGTCTACGACAAATCGATAACGACTCTCACTAAACCTCGGAGCATTGTTGTTGACGTCACGAAGCTTGACTCTGACATAAGCACGTGCAGGCACACTGTCGTCATGGTTACCAGTTCGATCCCAGGCCAACACGGCGAACTCGTACACACTTTGGATATCATAATCAAAATCCTTGGCGGTTCGTGTCTCACCCGTTTCGTTTATAGCAAAATAACCATTTGCATCCATAAGGGTGAAATCGAACTCGTTTCCAGTACATTGGCAATCAGCCGAGCAGTCGCAATCCATGACAGCCACTGACGTCACGAATGTACCTATCCCGACATCCTCGTCGATCTGTGCGTTATAAATAATCTCGGTGAACATCGTCGGATTCTCGTCGTAGTTCGTAACGACGAATGTAACCGAGACTTGTGATGACAGTGGGTCGCTGTCCGTAAGCTCACTGGCTCGGATTGTGATGACCACGGTCGCCAAACTACCAGCGGTTTCATAATCTATGCTTCGTTTTAACGACAGCTCGCCTTGCTGGTTTATCATGAAGATGTCGGAACTTGGAACAACTTCGTAAACGACCGGAATATTGGATAGACTCATTGCCATAACTCGACCTATCACGACCCCCGGCAACATAGTCTCTGGGTAGGTAAATGTATACTGCGATTGGCTAAATCTAGGGGGGTTGTTCACTTTGTTCACATTGATAACTTGAGTAGAACTTTCCTGTCTTGGATAACCCTGATCAAAAACTCGTATATTAACAGGGAAATTAGTTTGCGATGTGTCTAGAGGTTTTCCGTTTGTCTGCATGACCCAAGTTCTTGGATTCACAGTAAATAAGGAATTCCGACCGCCTATTATAAATCCAAGCCGACCTCGTTCTCTGCTATCAGGATCGCTGCCATTGAGTTGCGCCACAAAGGATCCAACCCGACTTGCATTGTTCACGTGACCTGTAAATGACGTCATAGCAAACCCCGGTTCGTTATCATTTTCATCTGTGACGTAAACGATGACGTCATGGCTATAAAATGACGAATCATCGGACTCCGAGTCCCGGATAATCAAATTGTAAACTTTCTGGATTTCAAAATCCAACGTTCCAGTTGTTTGAAGAATTCCAGTTTCACTTTGGACTCGAAAAATTGAATTTTCGGGATGAACAATTTCTAGTAGGCCGTCAAAGTTACGGGGGATTTCTAAAACCTTGGTACCAGGAGGTGAATTCTCCGGGATGTAGGCTCGTAGGGGTTGTTGGAATCTCCGATAGTGATAAGGTTCCGAGGCCCGGCGTATTCGAGACTTAACAGTTGAAGTCTCATCGAACCAATCAAACGAGTCGAGTATGAAAGTATCCGTTATAAAATCTTCATAGTTCATAAGATCTCGCATTTTAGCCAGTAGTGTCACGTTTGGTGGGTTTTGTGCTAAGGTGTCAACACTAGCACCAAGTAGGCCTACGTTTACGTCTTTGGATGCAGAAATTTTGTCTTCGTTGAGCAGTAAATCTTTAATATTATCAGCATTTTTTCCACTCAAATCCGCATTCTCATCTTCTTCAAAATTATCCGAATTCTTTCCATTCAATTCTTCTTCAAGCCCACCTGGTTGCTGAGCGCCAGCAAACAGTTTCTCTTGGTCAGCTAATAACGTTTTCAAATTATAAGGTTTGTCCAAGTTAGCCAATAAAGCTTCAAAATGATCAACGCTTTTTTCACTCAGTTCACTTTTAAGTCCATTTTGTGGCTGAGCGTTTGCAAGTGGTTTGTCACGGTCAGTTAATGATTCTTCAAGATTTTTCCGAGTTGCGCCTGATTTCACATCTGTGGACGCAGAAGGTTTCTCTTCACCAGCTACTGATTCTTCAAAAGTCTGAATACTGTGATATTCAAAATTAGTTTCAAATCTATTTGTAGTTTTAGCGTCGCTAACGCTGTCTGCATTAAAGTTACTTTGTAGTTTGGCATTCCTGCCATTGACAATGTCTGAAATATCGGAAGTCCTATCATTTACGGTATTTTGCTTGACAGTATCTCCACTTGGAAGTGGAATATCGTTAATTTCATCCGACAAAGAAGTTTCGCCGTTAGCATCATCACATTGTACACGATGAAATAATAAGACATACGCCAAGGCCAAATAAAGCCAAGCCATTTCGCCTGTCCGTCCTCTCATATCGAGGCAATACGATTCTCCGTATTCTGCTACATTTATACAAGTTAACAAAGTTTCACAGTTGATATCAAACAATAAAACAGATTATATGCAAGAGCTGGAAAGCCGCAAGCAATGTTACAGACACGGAATTCATTCAAACACGAATATACTTGGGTATGATGCATAACCAGTTGTGACTGGGCAAAACAACGCTTGTCGGAGCGACCGCGTTTCAAAACAACCCGTAATAGAAGCAAAACAATCCAAAAACTCGACTTAAACCGACGTTAAACCAAAATACAAATTTTTCTTGCCTTTCGAATACCTTCAAGTGTTTTTTTCTTTTATAGTACTAATAATAAAGCGCTAGAATATAAAATTCTCAAGTTCTTTTTACAGTATGTGGTCAAAACTGATAAAAATAAACGGTTTTCAGAGTCTGGAAAAATCGAAGCAAGGAGGCGTGCCAACCGGTAGACGTCAGTTTTAGTGTGCGGTCATCTTTGTTAATTGTATATTATCCCGCGCAAAAACCTTGACGCACCGCACAAATTCAACTTTCCGTACTTAATTGAGTTACCATAACCCTCCCCCCTGCCCTCAACTTCGATTTTTTCTTTGTAGGGTTACTTTCGCCTATTGTACGGGGGGGGGGGAGTGGTTAATACATTTGCCTATGATGTTATATGCTGATATAACGACACATTCATGGTACCTAACTAAGAAAATTAAGAAAATTAATGCTAGCTGAACTTTGGCAAGTGGGCCAAGTATTTTTTTTACAATGAATCCGCCAACAGGAATGAAACTGGCATGCAATATCTACCATATATTTTGCTTTACGTTTCATTTGAGCTGGTAACTGAAGTTACTACAGCCGAATCTTACCTTACGAACAACTCTCTACTACGTGAGGAGTCTCTCTATCATTCAGACAGATTCCAAAGTTCCAGCATAAAAATTGTCTTTTAAAAATCCTTTGACAGCTGACAGCTTTTTGTGCTGCAATTATAGGAGGCAAAAGCTCACAAAATATTCTCGGTAAAGACAACAAAATTGAGTAACTTTCCACAAACTTAAAGTGTTTATGATGATGAATAAAATATCTTATGCCTGTCTTTGAGTGTTGGTCTTCATAAAAGGCATGATGAAAACATCTCTTTCCTTCAAGTAAATACAACCATCAGTCTGTCTTTGTTTGGCAAATATCTCTGCAGAAAAGAGAGCCTCTAACTTGTAAATGCAGACCATGTCCATGGCATTGATGTCATTAAGACAAGCCTTGACAAACAATTCACCATTTCCATATTTGATTTTTCTAACTGTTGTCTTAGCTGTGTGAGGCTCTAGGATTTTAAAATTTTAGAAACACCACACAACCAAGATAACTAGCAGAAATGGGGTGGGAAAACTTTCCGAGGGGTGCAAAATATTATTAGGGGGGTGCACACCCCCCCCCCTGCACCCATTGAAAATCTAACTACTGTATGATGCAAACTGTTCTCTGTAAACAATTCTTGAATCTGGTCATGAAATTAATATTTGAATTATCATACAGTAAAATTCAAACATCATCAGCCCAGCATGGTATTTGAACTAGGAGCAGAGGAAAGAGCCTGGGTATAAAATTTATCCATTCCTCAAATCTGAACTTTCTCATATTTTCCTTCTTGTGGGCAGATGCTCTAAGATCACAAATATTTAGAAATCTCACATAACTAAGTCAACTAAGACAACTTGATATTTGATCACTTTAGCATCATGATTTGCCATCTTCACCAGTCCTGCCAATCCACCATAATTTGATCATATTTCCACGTTAATTCCACCTATAGACAGTCTGAGTTAATTTGTTTAAATAATCTCAATATATATTGCACATTTAGATAAAAGTTTTGCTTCTTATTTCGTGATACTAACCTGTCAAACAATAAACTTTCGCGCAGGTTGAAGGCTTTTGCTGGCTTCCAAAATTTGTCCCACTTCGATTCTTCGAACAACAAAGCATTTTCGAATGCAGCATGGGTAAAATTCTTGATGCATAAACTAAAATATTGACATAGTTTAAACACAATTACAAGTACTTCAATAAGAAGGCGAGCTATTACAGCCATTTGCAAAACTTTAAAGCAAATATAAAATATCAAAACAAAAGTTTGCTACTTTTATTCGTGAAAGAAAATTTTTCTATTATAAATGAACAACGTAACCACACCCCCCGTCTAAGAAGATAACCTGCAAACAGGTTGCGTGAAATTGTCAGGCTGCGAATTTCGAAAGTTTTCAAAATGGTGAGTGTTGCATTGCTTTTATATTTTTTTATTTTTTCTGTTTTTAAACATAACACATCTACAAAATTTAACTTTTTTTATATACAAAGAAATAAATGTTATTATATTGTGTTCAGCATGGCCGCCTCAAAGTGCGTACTACAGCGGAACAGGCGGAAGCGAAACGCAAGGAGCGGCAAAAGAAATTGGAAATTTATCTCAAAGTAACGAACAAAGTGAATGCCAAGGTCAGCGAACAATAGAGTGACGTCATAACAGTATTAGCAATTTACAAATCTCATGAAATTGTCAGAACTGCAAACAAGTTGTAACAAGCTTATTTTTAAGCTGTTATGAACAAAGACTTGTTATAAAAGACAAAAGTTGATCAATTAAAATTTTTTTTACAAATTTCTGTATTTTATCCCAGGTTGCAGAGTTATTCCACTTCTAGAGAGGTTCAGAATTGACTTCCACTACTGATACCATCACCATTATGGGACCATTAACCAATCAGATGGGTTTGATATATGACATATCCAATTAACCAATCAGATGCGTACTGAGCCAATGAGAGGTGGTAGCCAGTGGTTACCGTAGTGGAAGTCAAATCTGAATCTCTCTATTACTAGGCTATGACCTCTCTCACCTTATTATGGGAAAATTTCGATAGTGGCCATTTTGAATTGTTTAATTTTCCCGGGCGATGACTAACTAAGACCAGCATTCCTCGCGGGCATCAAGTGTTGTGACATCATTATGCATAATGTCTATTTGCATGGAAAATGGATTTACACATTTTTTTTTATAATTCCTTTTAAAGCGCAAAAATGGAGAATTAGATGAAGAAGCTCTCAATCTAACTGGTCAATTACTGATTGTTAATCCAGATTTTTATTCATTATGGAATTACAGGAGAGAAGTCTTACAACACTTCAAAAATGAGAGGTGATTTTATTTAATATATAACTTTGGTTAAAACATTTCACTATCAAATTGGGTGATCACTGTGATCAGACAGTGATTAGTTACTATATATCCAGTTGCAGTGATGCTTAATTAAGGCTATTGTGGAGTAAACAAGCCCTCTGGATAGATTATTCATCAGTTGAATCAACTATTGTGTGTCAATACTCCCCTAGAGCTTGACAATTAAATTTGCCTAGTGTTAGACAGAGTAAATAATAGCCTGCGAGCAGGCCCTTCTGGCAAATTGACATAGCAACAATACTGGACATATGTACGCATTGCGCACCTATTTTTCTATTAATAGACTCACTGACCCAATGACTGAACACTGCCATTAGATATTCTGCTGAACCAGTTGTAAATTATGCCAAATCAGCTTCATCTGCTATGCACTAGCTAAAATAATTTGTATACCTACTAAATAATTTATATGAACCTTTTATATTTTAATCATTTTTTCCAAATCCCACATAAGAGAAACAACACAACTGAAGGAATTTTGTGTGAAAGAATTATCATTTCTGGAAAGCTGTTTGCCAGTGAACCCCAAGTCATACAGCATATGGCATCACAGAAGTTGGATAATGTTATTTATGCCAGAACCTGACTGGAAGAAAGAACTACATCTTTGTAATGTTTATCTCAGTTATGATGAAAGAAATTGTGAGTGAAATTTTGGAATGGTTTTTCTGGGAATCATATTGATGAAGAAACCAAAGTACATGCAAAGAAAATTCTGCTCAGTGTTTAGTCCATTAATGCACAAGAATCTCCCATTGACAAGTAAAATTGTCTGGCATTAGAGAAAATTTGTATGGTGTGTTAGATAGAGTAAAATCTTCTGCTCTTAATAAAATCTTCTGCAACAGAGTAAACTCAGGTTGCAAAAGGCAAATTTCAGCATTTCAAAATTGATTCTTACAGTCCATTGTTGGGATTACCGTCGTTTTGTGGCGAAACATGCACAAGTGTCCGCGAAAGAAGAATTCGAGTTCACAAGCAATAAAATCAAGGAAAATTTTTCAAATTATTCATCTTGGCATTATCGGAGTAAATTGCTGCCTAAAATATATCCCGCTGGCCCTGGAGATACAGAAAGAATCGAGGAGCAAGCTCTACTCAAAGGTACACAGTCACATAAAAGACTGTTGAGGACAAACTATTGACAACTATTACAGAAGCTTGCATTGTTTCTTCTTTAGAATTTCAATTGGTGCAAAATGCTTTCTTCACTGATCCAAATGATCAGAGTGCTTGGTTCTACCACAGGTGGCTTCTCGGAAGAGGTAACATATTAATGACCCTGAAAATATAAGCAGAACATCAACGTTTCGAGCGAAGGCCTAGCTTCGTTGAGAATCCACAGCTATCGTCGCAACCGACACTGGCATCGACCATTCAACATTAACGACACACTTTACCAGTTTATTTCACTGTCAGTAAATTTTAGTCAAATAACCGTTTTATCCAGCTACTGATTGTATTGTCATTACACTTTACTTCACTGTAAATTTTAGTGAAATAACCATTTTGTTCACCTAATGATTGTATTGACTATTGTCATTCTATAGCACGAAACGAACTTGCCATACTACTAGCTTATGTGCGACGGTCAAATGATCATATTTCGCTGTATTTGCTATACAATCAGTCAGTAAAGGTCAGTTAATACTGGTCATTAAGTTTTGAACAAGTAGTATTCTTAGTTTTGACTAAGGCCTGTTTCAAACGTCGCACTTCTCCAGAGGC